AGACCCGGTTGAGCCTGTCGAGGTAGCTGTCGACTCTCGTCCTGCCGGGGGTGCTGAGCCTGAGGGTGCGGAGCCTGGGGGTGCTGAGCCTGAGCGTGCGGAGCCTAGGGGTGCTGAGCCTGCGGGTACGGAGTCTGAGGGTGCTGAGTCTGGGGGTGCTGAGCTTAAGAGTGCTACGTCTGAGGGTACTGAGCCTGGGGGTGCTGCGACTGACCGTGCTGTGCCTGGAGGCGCTCCCTCTTCACAGCAGCTACGTGAGTGGTACTCGCGGTACTGCAGCCTCAGGAGGGGCGCTTCTGGGGCTAGGGGTGCTGCTGGAGCTGGTGCTCGTGGTTCCCCGCCTAGGCGGGAGCCGCCCTCTCCCCAGCGGCTCCGAGAGTGGTACGCTCGGCGCTGCAGTCTCCGGAGTGGCGCTGCTGGTGCTTTGGACCCTGGAGTTGGAGCATCTGCTGGTGCTGCGGACCCTGGAGCTGGAGCTGCTGCTGGTGCCGCGGACCCTGGAGTTGGAGCTGCTGCTGGTGCTGCGGACCCTGGGGCTGGAGCCGCTGCTGGAGCCGCTGCTGGAGCTGGAACTACTGGAGGTGCTGCTGGTGCTGGAGCTGCTGGAGGTGCTGCTGGTGCTGGTGCTGCTGGTGCTGGAGCTGCTGGAGCCGCTGGTCCTGGAGGTGCTTGTACTGGGACTGGAGCTGCTGCGGGAGTTGGAGCTGGAGGTGCTACTGGTGCTGGTGCTGCTGGTGGAGCTGCTGGGACTGGAGCTGCTGCGGGAGTTGGAGCTGGAGCTGCTGGAGCTGCTGGTGGTGCTACGGGAGTTGTAGCTGGAGACCCTGGGGCTGAGGGTGCTGGTGCTGTCTCTGCTGGTTCAGGAGGTGCTGCGCGGCCGCGGCCGTACTACCTTCCACTTCTTCAGCAGGTTCTTGGTCTCCCGCCCTCTACTGGTCCTACTCCTCCCCTACTGAGTCCACCGCCTGTCCAGTCGCAGTCACAGTTACAGCCTACCTCTCCGCTACCTCGTCCTCCTCCTTACGCTGGGCCGACTCGAGGTCTTACAGAGCGTCGTGAGACTGAGTCTCGTCCTGCGTCGCCTGTGTCTCGTCCAGAGTCGCCTGTCCGCGCTGTCCGCACTGGTCGTCGTGTTCCGCGTGAGCGTCCTCCTCCTGTCCCTGGCACTCACTATATGACTCTGCGTCCTTCCACTGCTCCACAGCGTGTTCCTCTGCCGTCTCCTCCTGCGTCCTCTCTTCCTGACGGTCCGGACCCGGAGTCTGACTCCCTTCGTGCTGCCAGTCCTACTGTCACGCGTTTCCTCGCCACTGTTGTCACTGACCCTACCTTTGAGTCCTCTGCTGCGTCTGCTCTAGTCGCTGAGCTTGTTGACGTTGTTTCCGCCTGTCGTCTAGACTACGCCGCTAGCCTAGTTGCTGAGTCTGAGTCTGTCTGTCCTCCGTCCGTCGGGGGTGAGTGTGCTCTTGGCACGGACGTCCTTGAGGACAGACAGGAGGAGTTTGAGTGCTTTGCCGCTGCTTTACCTCATCTCGTGTCCATGCTGCTTGCCCCTGAGGGAGACCCGGATGCACCAGACATCCCGACCCCGCGCTCTTACGCAGAGGCGATAGAGGGTCCCTACTCCTCTCAGTGGCAGACAGCCATGGACGCAGAGATGGCTTCCTGGAAGTCCACAGGCACCTACGTCGACGAGGTTCCCCCACCTGGGGCGAACATCGTCAGTGGCATGTGGATTTTCAGGGTGAAGCGGCCGCCGGGATCTCCGCCTGTCTTCAAGGCGCGTTACGTTGCACGAGGCTTCAGTCAGCGTGAGGGAGTTGACTTCTTCCAGACCTTCTCCCCTACCCTGAAGATGACCACTCTTCGGGTTCTGCTGCACGTCGCCGCTCAGCGTGACTACGAGCTCCACTCTCTGGACTTCAGCACTGCTTTCCTACAGGGCAGCCTGCACGAGGAGATCTGGCTGCGCCGCCCACCTGGTTTCACTGGGTCGTTTCCTCCTGGTACCCAGTGGAGCCTCCGGCGGCCAGTCTACGGTCTCCGCCAGGCACCCCGTGAGTGGCATGACACACTGAGGACTACTCTTGCTGCTCTTGGGTTTGCTCCTTCTACTGCTGACCCATCGCTGTTTCTACGCACCGACACCACTCTGCCGCCGTTCTACGTTCTCGTGTACGTAGACGACTTGGTCTTTGCTACTTCTGACACTGAGGCACTCGCCCACGTGAAGTCGGAGCTGCAGAAGAGACACACGTGCACAGACCTGGGTGAGCTGACAAGCTATCTTGGCTTGCGGATCACCCGGGACAGAGCACAGCGCACCATTACCCTGACTCAGTCACACATGGTGCAGCAGGTCCTTCAGCGCTTCCGCTTCACGTACTCCTCGCCTCAGTCCACTCCTCTGCCTACCGGTCACTCGCTCTCAGCTCCACCTTCGGACGAGTCCGTAGAGCCGAGTGGCCCGTACCCAGAGCTTGTGGGCTGCCTCATGTACCTGATGACCTGCACTCGACCTGACCTTGCATACCCTCTTAGCATCCTAGCACGCTATGTCGCTCCTGGCCGTCACCGGAAGGAGCACATGGATGCCGCTAAGAGGGTGTTGCGCTACTTGTGCAGTACGTCGGGCATGGGGCTCGTGCTTGGAGGACGGGCTCGAGTTGTCCTCACTGGTCACGCAGACGCTTCTTGGGCTGACGACTTGACTACGCAGCGGTCGTCACAGGGTTACACCTTCAGCCTTGGCTCCGGCTCTGTCTCTTGGCGGTCTACCCGCTCGTCTTCTGTTCTCAGCTCCAGTTGTGAGGCTGAGATCTACGCAGGGGCCATGGCTGTACAGGAGTTACGCTGGCTCACCTACCTGCTGACTGACCTTGGAGAGCCGCCTCGTTCTCCTCCAGTGCTGTACGTCGACAACAAGGCCATGATTGCCTTGTGTCAGGAGCACAGACTGGAGCACAGAATGAAGCACATCGCTCTGCGCTACTTCCTTGCTCGAGAGTTGCAGTAGCGTGGTCATCTTCGTCTTGCTTACGTGGCCACTAGGGCCAACACTGCTGATGTGTTCACCAAGGCGCTTCAGCCTTGTGATCATCAGCGTTTGTGTACTGCCTTGTGCCTACTGTGCCTCACTTGCTTACTTCTTGACTCTGCTTGTACTGTGATCTCTATATATATACCTGCATGCTTACACTTGCTAGGTTGTGATCACTGTACCTCTTATTTATTATCAAACTGCATGTGAACTGGTCTTGTGACCGCTTGCTTGTGCTCGGAATTTGTGTGGTATCCTTGAGATCCACCCTGAGCTTTGCTTTGTTTTGCTTTGCTTTGACTGGTCTTGGGACCATCTAGTTGTCTCCCACTTCGCCTATGGGGGTGTGTCAAACATTGTATATGTTTGTGTTCTGTAGGCTATAGTGGGTTTAGCCTTAGGGGGTACAACTTCTAGGTTTTCCTACTTGTACTCCCAATCTTGTTAGTTCAATCACTTCTCTCATTCTGACCAACCCGGCGGCCGCTTCACCCTGAAAATCCACATGCCACTGACGATGTTCGCCCCAGGCGGGGGAACCTCGTCGACGTAGGTGCCTGTGGACTTCCAGGAAGCCATCTCTGCGTCCATGGCTGTCTGCCACTGAGAGGAGTAGGGACCCTCTATCGCCTCTGCGTAAGAGCACGGGGTCGGGATGTCTGGTGTATCCGAGTCTCCCTCAGGGGCAATCAGCATGGACACGAGATGAGGTAAAGCAGCGGCAAAGCACTCAAACTCCTCCTGTCTGTCCTCAAGGACGTCCGTGCCAAGAGCACACTCACCCCCGACGGACGGAGGACAGACAGACTTAGACGCAGACTCAGGAACAAGACTAGCAGCGTAGTCTAGACGACAGGCGGCAGCAAAGTCAACAAGCTCAGCAACTTGAGCAGACGCAGCAGTGGACTCAAACGAAGGGTCAGTGACAAAAGTGGCGAGGAAACGCGTGACAGTAGGACTAGCAGCACGAAGGGAGTCAGACTCCGGGTCCGGACCGTCAGGAAGAAAGGACGCAGGAGGAGACGGCAGAGGGACACGCTGTGGAGCAGTGGAAGGACGCATAGTCATATAGTGAGTGCCAGGGACAGGAGGAGGACGCTGACGCGGAACACGACCAGTGCGGACAGCGCAAACAGGCGACTCATGTTGAGACTCAGGCGACGCAGGATGAGACTCAGGCTCACGACGCTCCGTAAGACCTCTAGTCGGTCCAGAGTAAGGAGAAGGACCAGGCAGTGGAGAGGCTTGCAGTAACTGCGGCTGCGACTGGACAGGCGGTGGACTCAGTAAGGGAGGAGGAGGAGGACCAGTAGAAAGTTGTCACGAGACGAACTTAGCTAGGAACGGGTTTAACTAAGGGCCTAGGCTTAGTAGCCTAGGCCAAGCGGGTGTCGAGGGAGTTGTGCCAAGAGAGAATCGAGAATGTGTGTCTTCACTATAGGTTTGCAAGAACATATAGCAAAGAAACAAAGAGGTGCACCACCACAACAAAGAAACATAACTACACTAAAGCTAAAGCTACAGGCAGTTATAAACATATATAAATATATATCGCGACACACCCCCTTAACTGCCTGCAGCACATAGCTAGAGCAAGTCACACCCCCTGAAGGGGCAGGTGCGGTGGGAGACGGCAGAGGGGTACGTGAGGAGGAGGAGGCAAGAGGAAGAGAGGAGAGGAGAATAGATAAGAACACAGGAGGAGGTGAGTGGGGGATGAGGAGAGGAGGTGGGGGGTGGCCGCAGCGTCCCCTCTTACTAACCCCCTTTTACGAAAGGGGGGGTTGAGTGGGGGATGAGGAGAAGAGGTGGGGGGGTGGGCGCAGCGTCCCCTCTTACTAACCCCCACATCCCCACCCCCAACCAACCACCCGCCCTCAACCTCACCCCCCATTTCAGTCGCCCCCTGGAACCGCACTCCCTCCACCCCTGTCTTCCTCCATACCTCTCCCAACCCACGATGGTCCCTGTACAGTCTTTCACAGGTGGGCTGCTGGGCACAGGTGGGGCTGCTGGTCACAGGTGGGGCTGCTGGTCACAGGTGGGGCTGCTGGTCACAGGTGGGGCTGCTGGTCACAGGTGGGGCTGCTGGTCACAGGTAGGGCTGCTGGTCACAGGTGGGGCTGCTGGTCACAGGTGGGGCTGCTGGTCACAGGTGGGGCTGCTGGTCACAGGTGGGGCTGCTGGTCATAGGTGGGGCTGCTGGTCACAGGTGGGGCTGCTGGTCACAGGTGGGGCTGCTGGTCACAGGTGGGGTTGCTGGTGCTGGTGCTGGCGGCTGGCGCTGGTGCTGGTTCCTGGTGCTGGCAGCTGGCACTGGGGCTGGTTCCTGATGCTGGCGGCTGGCGCTGGGGCTGGTTCCTGGTGCTGGCGGCTGGCGCTGGTGCTGGTTCCTGGTGCTGGCGGCTGGCACTGGGGCTGGTTCCTGGTGCTGGCGGCCGGCGCTGGGGCTGGTTCCTGGTGCTGGCGACTGGCGCTGGGGCTGGTTCCTGGTGCTGGCGGCTGGCGCTGGGGCTGGTTCCTGGTGCTGGCGGCTGGCGCTGGGGCTGGTTCCTGGTGCTGGCGGCTGGCGCTGGGGCTGGTTCCTGGTGCTGGCGGCTGGCGCTGGGGCTGGTTCCTGGTGCTGGCGGCTGGCGCTGGTGCTGGTTCCTGGTGCTGGCGGCTGGAGCTGGGGCTGGTTCCTGGTGCTGGCGGCTAGCGGTGGGGCTGGTTCCTGGTGCTGGCGGCTGGCACTGGGGCTGGTTCCTGGTGCTGGCGGCTGGCGCTGGGGCTGGTGCCTGGTGCTGGCGGCTGGCGCTGGTGCTGGTTCCTGGTGCTGGCGGCAGGCGCTGGTGCTGGTTCCTGGTGCTGGCAGCTGGCGCTGGTGCTGGTTCCTGGTGCTGGCGGCTGGCGGCTGGGGTTGGTGCCTGGTGCCTGGTGCTGGCGGCTGGCGCTAGTGCTGGTGCTGGTGCCTGGTGCTGGCGGCTGGTGCCTGGTGCTGGCGGCTGGCGCTGGCGCTAGTGCCTTGTGCTGGCGGCTGGCGCTGGTGCCTGGTGCTGGCGGCTGGCGCTGGTGCTGTTCCGCCGCCACTCCCTTCCCCTCCTCTCTCTCCTTTCCACAGCGTCCCGCCGCCACTCCCTTCCCCTCCTCCCTCTCCTCCCCATGGCGACCGCCGCTGCACACGCAAACAGTCGCGACGGGGGGGGGGGGGGGGGGGGGTGACGGGCAGGGGGCGGGGGGAATGCGACGGGCAGAGCGGGCGAATGAGCGGCTGGGGCGATCGCCAGTGCTCTGGCGATCGTCGCTGGCGTTCCCCCGTCACTCCTATCCCCTCTTCCCTCTCGCCCCCATAGAGTTCCGCCGCCACTCCCATCCCTTCTTCCCTCTCCCCCCCACAGCGACCGCCGGTGCGACGGGCGAGGTGCAAGGTGGCGCTGGCTGCAGTCGATGGCGCAAACGCGATCGCGGGCCGCTGGCGACTTCGCTGGCGACTTCGCTGGCGGGTCGCTGGCGGCGGGTCCGCTGGCGTTCGCCATAGCGTCCGCCGCGCCCGTCGCGCTGAGAGCCGCGACGAGGCAGGCGACGGGGGGCAGCGCGAGCAGCAGGGAAAAAAAAAAGATACGCAAGGTGCGGGTTTCGCGCCACTAACTGTAGCAGTCGCGAAATGTGGTGGGCCCATAAACGAAATAGGTCCTAGGACGGACCACTCTGTTACCATGTCACGAGACGAACTTAGCTAGGAACGGGTTTAACTAAGGGCCTAGGCTTAGTAGCCTAGGCCAAGCGGGTGTCGAGGGAGTTGTGCCAAGAGAGAATCGAGAATGTGTGTCTTCACTATAGGTTTGCAAGAACATATAGCAAAGAAACAAAGAGGTGCACCACCACAACAAAGAAACATAACTACACTAAAGCTAAAGCTACAGGCAGTTATAAACATATATAAATATATATCGCGACAAAAGTGGTAGGCCAAGAACCTGCTGAAGGAGCGGAACGTAGTACGGCCGCGGCCGCGCAGCGCCTCCAGAAACAGCAGAGACAGCACCAGTACCCTCTGCTCCAGGGTCTCCAGCTCCAACTCCCGCAGTACCAGCAGCAGCACCAGCTCCAACTCCCGCAGCACCACCAGCAGCACCAGCTCCAACTCCTGCAGCACCACCAGCCCCAGCAGCTCCAGTACCTCCAGTACGAGCACCTCAAGGACCAGCGGCTCCAGCACCTCCAGCAGCTCCAATACCAGCAGGGCCTCCAGCAGCGGCAGGACCCCCAGCACGAGCACCTCCAGGAGTCCCAGCACCAGCAGTACCTCCAGCTGCTCCAACAGCTCCAGCACCAGCAGTACCTCCAGTGGCTCCAGTAGCACCTCCAGTAGCACCAGTACCTCCAGTACGAGCACCTCTAGAACCAGCGGCTCCAGCAGCTCCAGCACCAGCAGGACCTCCAGCTGCTCCAGTAGCTCCAGCACCAGCAGCACGGCTACAACGTCGAGCGTACCACTCACGCAGCTGCTGTGGAGAGAGGGGCACCCGCCGAGACGAGACACCCGAAGGACCTCCAGACACAGCACGCTCAGGCTCAGCACCCCTAGACTCAGCACCCCCAGACTCAGCACCCCCAGGCTCAGCACCTCCAGGCTCCACACCCCCAGGCTCCGCACCCCCAGACTCAGCAACCCCAGGCTCAGCACCCCCAGGCTCCGCACCCCCAGGCCCCGCACCCGCAGGCTCAGCACCCCTAGCAGCACCAGAGTCAACAGCTACCTCGACCGGCTCGACAGGGTCTACCTGGGACACACCTGAAGGGGCAGGACCCTGAGGGGGGAGGGGGTCTACCAGAGGAGCACCTGGCGCGAGGAAGAGCGGTGGGGGGGGAGAGGGGCAGTGCGGTAGGGAAAGAGACGGTAGTAGGAGACCGACTCGTCAAACGTGACGTCCTGAGAGGACAGAACACGGCGCAAGGTGGGGTGGTAAAACTGCCACCCAGGCGCGTCAGGGGGGAAGCCAAGGAAAACGCAGGGAACAGCACGAGAGGACAGCTTGTCCGCGGAAGTATCGCGGACAAAAGCTCGAGATCCCCAGACACGGAACACAGACGCATCACCAACCTTCCCCGTCCACCGCAGAGTAGGTGTGGTCTCCGGCAAGGAGACACGAGGCTGAAGGTTGATCTGATGCGCAGCGTACTGAACAGCGAACGGCCACAGAAAATGGGGAGCAGCCGCATGGATCATGGACGTGCGAGCAACGTCCATGACCATGCCAATGCGGCGCTCAGCAATCCCATTTTGTTGCGGAGAGGCCGGAAGCGTGAACGTCTGGCGGATGCCCTCCGCACGACAGAAAGCCCTCAGAAGGTCGGAGGAAAACTCACCACCTCTGTCTGAGTGCAGACGCAGAACAGGAAAGTCCGAGCCGAAACTCTCTCTAAGCTGGTGACGAGCAGCGCGGATCGAGTCGATCAACACCTCAGTGACCTCACCCTTGCGGCGCAATGGGAAGACTGTGGTGTAGCGCGAGTAGTCGTCAACGACCAGCAGGAAGTAACGCTCGTGACTCTGTCCACGGACGCGGGCTGGGCCCCACACGTCCATGTGGAGAGTCTGCAGAGGAGCCTCTGTCGGAGGAAACTCAGAGGAGTGAGGGGCGGCGCGCTGCCGGCCCTCAACACAAGGAACACAGGTGGGGGCAGGCCCCGGAGGAAGGGGAGGGAGGGTCTCGGGGAGACCTGAGACAAGGACACGGGAGGCCATACCTCGGAGACGAGGCAGGGAGGGGTGACCAAGGCGGTGGTGCCAAAGAAGAGTCTCGTGTGACAGAGGACGACACGAGCAGGGGGCAGACGCCGGAATAGACCTGGACGCAGCAGCAAACACCTGACCAGACGCGGCTACCTGACCAGATGCAGTGACAGGAGGAGACTCAGTGGTAAGGGTGTACAGACTGGACCCTGGCCGACGGGTGAACGTGGCTAGGTGACGGCCCGTCCGAGCACACGTGCAGTGCGTCACACGCTGATAGGCAGGGGTGAACTGGTGAACACCCCCGTCCTGAAGATCAGCACCCGCCACCAAGTTCGTAGAGAACGAGGGGAGGTGAAGACGAGACAGCGAGCCGGACGGAGCCGCAGGACACGGGAGAACAGTGGAGGAACGGGCTACAACTGGTCCCCCAGAGGGGTCAGCCAGTGAGACTGCGACCGGACGGCATGAGGGGAGTGAGAGTGGTACTGTCACAAAAGAAGGAGCGGGAAGCTCCGGAGTCAAGGGTAAAGGTGTGCAGGGCCACAGCGGGCGCAATACCAGAGTGAGCGAACTCACCAGCACCTGGAGCAGAAGACTCACTAGCACCTGGAGCAGCAGACTCACTAGCACCTAGAGCAGTAGCCTCAATGCCCGGGTCGGGCGGAACACACAGGTAACAGTCACCCTCAGTACTATCAGTCACAGCATACATGGCAGCAAGGATAGCATCGAAATCAAGATCAAAGATAGCAACATTCTGCTTCAGCAGATCACCCCAGCGGGGGAGCTCAGCGCCGTCAGGAAACTGTGCACGCCAGGCGTCAGTCAGGCGACCAAAGCAGCGCTGCGAAGTGTGCGGTCCACCGCACGTCTCTCCACGACGCCCGCCTGTGCGAAGAACGTAAGTGCAGGGACCAACACCCCCAGCCCTCCCACGCCCAGCGTACCACTCACGAAGCTGCTGGGGCGAAAGGGTCTCACGGGAACGCGGCTGCTGCTGGCGCTGGCTACCGCCAAAGCCTCCACGCTGTGCAGTACCTCCTCGGCCAGCACCACCACCGCCTCCACCTCCACCGCCGCTGCCGCTGCCTCCACCACCTCCACTACCGCCCCCACTCCCGCCACCACCCCCACCGCCACCACCACCGCCTCCACCCCCTCCACCGCCTCCACCGCCTCCACCGCCGCCCCCTCCGTCCCCTCCACCACCCCTGCCCCCCTTGCCCTTGCTGTTGCGGCGCCTCCCACTAGGAGCAGACGCAGCCCCGACCTCCTCAGTGCCAACGAGGTCGACAGCAGCAGCAGAAGCAACAGAAGGGAGAAGGGGGACGGGGGAGCACCCCTCAAAGAAAGGGGCGCGGGGGTCGCCGCGAGAAGCACCTACAGCAACAATACTCTTCTCTGCTGCAGTAAGGCGCTCCTCAAGCAGGTCAACAGTGAGCTCAGTGGGGCAAAGGGAGAGAAAGTGGTTCCTGACTGAAGAGAGGGAGACAGGGAGACGGGTGACTAGGTAGTAGAGAGTGATGTACATGGGGGGGGGAGGGTTCTTGGCACAGAGCTCAGTGGGAAGCGCAGCGCGGTAGCGGGTGTCACTAGTGCGGAGGTGAGTGATGAGGTCAGCGACTGTGGCAAAGGCAGCAAGGTCAGGGAACAGGTACGGCAGCATGAGGCGGTTGAGGGCAGCAGTGGAAGGGGAAGAGTAGCGCACGACTACAGCGTCATACAGAGACTTTGCAGTCTTGTACTGGCCAAAGTGCGCGCGCTCAGCAGACGGCAGGTGACTACGAACAGCAAGACGAGCAACAGCGTCACGAGTAGTCCACTGCGAGCGAACCGTACTGTCAGCAGTGGCAGCAGGTGCAGGAGAGACACCGGACGTGAGATCGAACAGGGAGACTCCGTCCTTGGAGTCGCACTGGAGAAAGAGCTGTAGGTCGTCTACCCAAACCTCGAAGTCAACAGCACGACCCTCAGCATCAAAGGTAAGAACAGTAGGACTAGCCATAGTGGCAGCAGTAGCAGCAGTAATTCGGGAAGCGAACTCAGGTGTGCGGTAAGCGAGTTCAGGCGTGCCGGAAGCGAACTCAGGTGTGCGGTAAACGAGCTCAAGCGTGCCGGAAGCGAACTCAGGTGTGCGGTAAGCGAGCTCAGGCGCTCCGGAAGCGAACTCAGGTGTGCGGTAAGAGAGCTCAAGCAAACCCTAAAACGTCGCCCGACGGTGCTGGGCAGCGCGGGTAGGGCAGGTGCTCACCAGGGGCGGGTAGGGCAGGTGCCACCGGCG